ATGGATTTGAATGTTGCTATCAATATGAAAATTTTATTGATAGATAATCTATAATTACATTTGTAATCCCTGACCTCTTCCACCTGCACTAAGATATATATTAACTATAAACTCTATAATAAATTACATTGTTTACAATGTGTTATACTAAATAATATAATTTCTTTTCACTTAGAATTGATTGAAGCCTCCTAATTTCCAACCAGAAACAATTACCTAAGTTACAATGTTATGAAGATCAGACCGGATTAGTGGATTCCATCAAACCGATGAACCGGCTCATAGTCCGATCTTAACATTCAAAACCGGTTTACAAAAATCAGTTGAAAACCTATAGAGTCAGGTCAAAAACTGGCGGCAATAATCGGTGTGATCGGATGGTGTTTATAAATCTTTGCTGAGTTGTGCAGAATATTCTAGCTTTGGGCCAAAATCGAATTCGAAAGGTTATGGGCTTTCTGTTTTATACGTTCCAAAGTTGGGTCTAGGAGTTGGAAAGTTAGAGCCCATTAATACCTTACCTATTTTATGTGCAAATTTCCCTTTTTTTTATAATCTTTTAGCGTTATTATAATTTCCAATTTTCATTTTTAAAGGTAAAATTCTAATTATAAACAATAACCATGATAAAAAAATTTAATTCAAAGAAAAAGCATTAGTCGGTTTGAGAACAAAATTTTATCAGATTTTTTTAAAAGATTTGCTCGGTTCAATTTACTAAATTTTATTGTTTGCTCCATTTTTAAAATTATCAACAATTGTAATTATTTTTTAAATAATTATAATATTTTTTAATTTCAAAGACATAAATATCCTATTAATTAATTATTTTTGACCCATGGAATCACAAACAAAAGAATGGAGAACCAATAACGCTAGTGAGAATTTTAGCATTGGTGACGCAAGGATGATGGACTTGAAAGTAAAGCCGTTAATAGGGCCAGGCCTGATGGGTTATTCTTCTAAGCCTTGTAATTTATAAAAAAAAAATCAAGTTAGTCCTTATTACAACTCTAATAAAAAAGAACAATGGTGAAAAACTAAAAAAAAAGATTGAAACAAGGTGGCAAATCGAAAACCACCCAATTTCACTATTTTTGCCCAAAGAACTACGATGATAAAATCAATGCTAGCATTGCCACCGTTGTGTTCTTCTGATGGTTTCCCATTTTAGGGTTACTTACACTTTAACTTGTCATTGACGACCAACATTGTGTTCTTGGATGACAATTTGGGTCTTGAATTTTCAGCCAATTTTTTGAATATTAGAACATGAAAATACTTCAAGATTTGAAACAGCCAGCTCTTATGCCCAAATACAATCTGGGCTCTGATCCCATGTTAAGCTCATAAAGTTAAATTAAGAGAAGAAAAATAATAAACAAACTTCATTGAAGATTATGAGGAAGAAAATTATAATGAGAAAATCCTTCCTCAAATGATTATACAACTAACTCCAAAACTCTTAAAACTCTTTGAGGTGTAACACATGAGGTAATAACTTTCATACTTAATTAACGTCTAACACTTAACCTTTTGTATAAGCTTAGGTGGACAGTGGGTTATTGGGCTAAGCTATTGTAAATTGTTGATGTTTTCAATTGTGGGTGAATAGGGGAGCATGATTATGTGATCATAACTTACACTTAAAGAAGAGATTGTTAGAATGTCAATTATGAATAGACTTAGCTTGGTATGAGAAAAAGTCTCATATAAAATAAAATGGGATCAGGAAAGATGTATATAAGTAAAAAAGACTTATAAAATCAATGACTTAAGTTTTTAGATTAAAATATGATCTCATACTTATTTATATGTATTTTCTTGAAATTGTTATTATTATTCAGATTACAAAGAATTAATTAGAGAAAGAAAATGAACAAATTCATGATAATGATTATTGAACATTACAACATATAATCCTTCACTTAAAGGATTTACACCAAACCCCAAAACCACTTTAAGGTGAAACATGAGGTGAGGACCTTTATTAACCTCCCTCTTAAGGTAGGATTTAACTCCCTTTAAATAGATTTTAAGGTCAGAAACAATTAAATGATTAACACTAATCACTCTAACTAATCCAATAGTCCCCTCAAGTTGACACCGCACTACTCAAGGTGCTCAACTTGCCAACATAACACAAGGGTGGTATTACGAGCTTAGGTTCATTTGGGCTTGAAAATCAACTACTTTCGTAGTCCACTTCGGATAAGCAAGAAAGTTAGAGTTGGGCCAGGTAATCAAGAAATAATCACCCCAAGACCAAGATCTAAAGTCAAGCAACCTTATCACATATGAACATCTACCCTCCATTCATCTCCTTTTTGAAAACTCGGAATCTCTTGTCACCATTAAAAAAGAAAACTTTCTGTCACCTATCTCCTCTCCTCATTCTTCTTCACAAAGAATGAAACTGGGAAGAAATGTCTAGAAGAAACTAAGGCAGACCCTTCAAAAAATGTAGAATCGTAGGTTAAAGAAGAGGCGTTACTTGTCATGTCGAAGATAGAAGCTACATTCAAAGGAGTAGCAAGCAAAAGAAGACGAGGTCTCATACCAGGTGAAAAGACCAAGAAACGAAGCTACATTTAGAATATTCATAGGAGTGGCAAGCAAAAGAAGGTGAAGTCTCATACAAGACTCCGATACCATGTTGAGATTATAGAGAATTGAATAGAGAAAAGAAAACACACACATTCTTGATGATTAATGAACATTATAACAAATAATCCTTCATGTGAAGGATTTGAACTACCACAAAACTTGAGGTGAAAACCTTTATTAACCTCCATTTTGATGTAGGATTTAACCTCCTTACCTCTAATAAAATGTCATGCCCTTTATATAAATTTTAGGATCATCAACAATTAAGTGATTGACACTAATCACTTTAACTAATACAACAAGTGGCCCAACTATTTTTTCTCCCTTTTTGGGATGCTCATTGAGCCCAACAATATTCCCATTTGTGTCCCCTCCTCTCCCCTACTGGCCATTAATACCATCAATTTATAGTAGATATTGAAAAATACAAAAAACCATAGTTTTAGTATCATCGTTACGAAACAAAACAAGCAGACAATCAAAATGATGATGTCTAATTTTGACAAACGTGCAAACAAAATTAATATATGATAAAATTTAAATAAAAAAGATTCCATTCTTAGTGAAGTCCAATGCATTTAGTCCATTGTACTGTACTGCTTTTGGGGCAAGATTCTCTGTTTGAAAATTGCAACGACCCTCCTGAAGCAATTTCATTAGGACCACTATTTTTTTTTGCGCGCCGACAGCAATATTCTTACCAACAATAGAGACGAATCCTTCCCCAATTACAAAAGAAAAAATGTACTCCCTTTGTTGGTACTTTTTTTATATACAAAACCAAGAGAGGGAAGGATCTTTTAAACCTCTTTACAAGTGACATTATTAATGTTTTATTACAAGTTTTTACTTTTACTTTCCATTAATATTGGTAAGGGAAAAATATTATTAAAATATACATATTTAATAAAGGTAAAATATTAAATTTATTAAATTTTTAGATAATGTTAATAATTAAGATGAGAGAATAAATTGGTTCCAACTAGTTTTGCTTTATTCAAATTGTCAACTATTTGTTTTAAGAAACGAGCTCAAGATTAACCAGGATGAGGACCACAGTTATAATTTTCAGGTTTCCCCTGTACATTGAATTCCCATGCATGGCAGGTCATAAAACTAGGCATTTTTATTGGACCGACTGATCTATTTGATTCAGAATACCTCCTTCCACATTTTGTGGTCCTATATCCCACTTCTATGGATTGAGATTCTCTAAAATATAAACTTCTTGGCTTCATGCTGATGTTCCAATCACATACATATATGCATATATACTCTCATCTCATTTTACCCTCTATTTTATTTTTAACTAACTTTGAATTTATGTAATAAATTTGGACAACACAGATTCTGTCACCAATGTATTGGTTACCCTCACAGATCGATTGCCCCATGTATATAGAGCTCAACACTTTGAGAATGATCATCATCATCATCATCATCATCATCATCATCACATGCAACTCCAATGTCAATTTTATTTGTTCTCTCAGAATGTTTAATGCTCGTTATAGCTTTTGCAATGCCCAACGCATCAAGTTGTATGATGAAGTTTCACTCCTCTTACCTTTTTTCTTTTAAGTATAAGGATAGGAAGTTGGCTCCATCAACAATAAAGAATCATTAGGGAGAATGAAAAGTAATAAAGTATATCATAAAAAGATTAATATCAGAGCAATTTTTCTAAAAGATTTTAATACTGAAACATATGAACCTTAATTGTGAATATAGATCTCAATTTAATATTAATATTCTTTTAAATTCCTTATTTATCATTCTCCCTTAAAAATATCTCTCTTGAAGTATATACTGAAAATTATGAGTAGACGTTTTGAAACCTCATTGTCAGCCTATTTTGATTCACCTCATCGACCATCATCAATGTACAGAAGTATAAAATCATAATTAATATAATTCATTTCTTAATTTTTACGTAAACACCTAAAATCATGCCTGTTTCATCAATCAAAATTTTAATATACAACGGTAACTATAAAATTTCAATTTAGACATGCATTACGCATAAACCATAAACATTATAATTCATTTATCAAGTTTTGTACAATGCGCGAGCCAACATTTAGTATTGCTATGAAATATAAAATATAAGGCATGAACCAAATAAATACAAGATATAAAATCTAAACCTAGATTTAAATTATAAATACTTGGATGCATTTCTTATACCTTTTTCATGCCTGTATCATCTAGATACTGAAATAAATAAAAAATAATAATTAATTGCAAATTACCAGTTTACCACCGAGAAATTTGTATATATGTTGACCTCTGCCATCTTCTTCTTGCACCTATATTCTCAGAATTCAAAAGAAACGACAGGGAAGGCACGAGGTTTCTGGGCATGACGGATCAAACCGGAAGCCGACGGCGAGATGAGCTTCCATCAGTACTCAGCTTCAGGAATTTCTCGGAGCTCAAATTCTTTGAAACAAACGGTGGCGTCAAGGACAGAAACGCCCACTTTTTCGTCTGATGATCATCAATTCCTCTCTTGGAGCTCCATTCTACCGGCAAAGCCACGTCGTTGCTGCTTGCGCATCGTCGGAGCTCTCTCTGGTTCCGGAAAATCTCCTCCCTCACATGCTCAGGCAATCTCAGTGCGTACCTCTCCAGAGAGATACCGGTCGAGTGTGACCTCGCAAACCTCGCCGGCGCCGTTGTTGACCAGATTGGAAGTTCAGTCTCCGTCGGAAGACCAGCGCTTCCGATTTCATCAATCGTTTCCTCCGGCGACTCCTCTGCGCTCTGCCGCTCGATTTCTCCATCTGCGGCCGGCGATTCTTCCTGATTGGACTCTGTCGCGGCGTCTGCGGCGGCATTGTCATCGTCCGACGGACAGAGCTTGGCGCGGCAAACAGGGCAAGTAAGGTGGGAAGCGAACCACTGATCAATGCAATCGGGATGGAAAACGTGATTGCATTGTGGCAGCAAGCGGACATTGTCCGTGTCACCGAACTCGGTCAGGCAAACAGCGCAATCGAGAGCGCAATTTCCGATCCTGAGCGCCTTCACCTCGGAGTACTCCAGCACAGGACACTGCTCCATGACTTGACGGAGGCGGCGTTGGGCTGTGGCCCGGGTGGCTCGACGGTTGCTGCGAGCACAGGATCTAACACAGTGACGGATCAAGAGGGAGAGGAAAATCAAGAAGACAATGCAAGAGAAAAAGCCGGTGAGAACAACACTGAAGCGAGCTTTCTTGAGAGAGACTTTCAAGACGTCGCTGACCCAAGTGGATGATGTGCCCGGCGGCTGTGCATGGGAGCGACGGTGGAGAATCGCGAGTACGGCTAGCAAGAACAGGTGGGACCAGGCTATGCGTTTTGACTCCATCTTTGAAATTGATTTTCAATTTCATGCAACTTTTGAGGCAAGGCTATAAAATAAAAATATCAATGAAATGGGAATTCTTTCTTAGTATATCTTTATTATTTAATTATTTAATATGTATAGAGAGGAGGGAATAAGAAGACGATCGAGGAGCTCCGGGGGCGTCAGTTTTATGGGTGGGGTTTGCAGACGGTGGCACGCTACTGAAGAGACACGTGGCAGACTGGAAAATGAGAAAGAAATAGGTGGCGTTGTCAGGACCCAACAAAACTTCTTTCCCGCTGTCCCGTTCCGTAGTTCTCTCAGTCTCATGCTATGTATATACTCCCCTGCTCATGCATACATACATATGTGTATATAATATAAGTTTTTTTCAATCATTGAGTCTCAAATATTTATTGAATTTTATTAAAATTTAAAAATATTTTTTACGCATTTCTCTTTAAAAATTCAAGATAATTTTTTAGACCAAAACACTTTTCATTTCTTTAAAAAATTTGAGATATATGATAAAAAATTTTATAATCAATTGATTAAATTAAATTATTATTATTATATCACGTAAGATATTTATTAAGTAAGTAGATTTAAGTTAATTACCAAAGCTAAATATAGGTGGTGGAACTTAGAAGATAGTGTTGGCTCAAAATTCAAATTATACATGTGTCAAAATATCAAACGATTTTTTTTTTGAAAAATGTAACCTTTAATATCTGAATTTTTAATTATTAATTTAGTCAATGAATTTTGATTCAAAATAACTTAATTATTATAGCTTTTTGATTTTATTTAACTTAATCTTTATAATTTCTTAACTCAATAAATTACAAGGAATGAATTGTATTAAATCAAAATTTAAAGATTAAATTAATAACTAAAAACAAATTAAGAATTAAAAATTAAATTATTTATTTTTCTTTATTCTGATAATTTTAATAGTTAATTGAGCCAACGTTTTGTGATTTTTTTTTCATAAAAAATAATGATGCACAATGGTATAATTGGTATATTACGTACGATGATTTTGGATAGAAAATGACGTCGCAAAAGATCTTACAATAAGAAACCGGGAACAATATGTTTTGCCAAAAGAAAAAAAAAAGAAAAAGAAACGTAGGATTACATGTGAGGTATCACTGTTTACATTTACTATTGTCTGTAATCATGTCATTATTGCTTCTTCTTAGTTCTGGGTGCGTGCGTATTATTTTTTATTTTTTTTGGACTGATAATTGTTTTCTGTTAGTTTAAAAAACCTGCTCTTCTTAAATGTATTACTCTCTCTTATTTTTATTATAAGGTATCTTTAAAAAAATATTTTTAATATATATGGTATTAATTTACGTTGTTCTAATATTGCTTTTATTTAAACTTATTAATTATGATAACAGAGAATATAATGTAAATTTTTATTTTTTTTATTTAAATAAGGTAAAATTAAAATTTCATTTTAATTTTCAGACAAAGTTAATAATTTAACCACATTTTCCTAGTTTTGATAAAGTAGTTATAAGTACCTTATAATAAGAATGTATAGGAAGTAATTAATTAAATAATTGTCTAAACTAATGAAAAATTCATTAATTCAAAATATTTTATTTAAGGTAATTTTAAAATTGAAGTACAAATTAAGCAGCACAATTTTTACACAATGTTTGACAGTGGTGGTGGGAAAGGATATATGATGGAATAATAGATTGGGGAATTTTCGTTGAATTTATCAAGCATGTTCACTTGGCCCTACTTTTTATATAACAATTAAAAATTTTTTCATGATTTAAAACTCAGCTACTTATCAACATCAAAACAGTCTCTCTATTTAAACTAAAGAGTGTGGGTTTTGTTGATAATAAAGATGAAAGAGTGCCATACACTGCATCTAGTTTAATGGAGAAAGCACACAAACAAATCTCCCCACCCCTCATTAATCATATTCTTGCAACATTGTGATTATTCTCATCTCAATCAGACTTCTTTTTTTTTTTTTTTTAAACGTTGGTGTTCTTTTATTAGAAACAATTATTTTAAAGATACAATTAAACATTAAATATCAATATATCTTTTAACGGGTATTTATATCTTAATTTGTCATGTTATGAGAGATTATGTCAATATTTGCCTTTTATCTTAATTTGCGTTTATTGCTATTTTTTTTTTTACTTTGTAATTCTTCTCACCCCATTTCATTTTTCTGTCTTCTTAAACAAGGTTAAGATTTTGAACTCTGTGAATGCAAATATATATATATATATATATATATAAGATATACTTTTAATTTCACCGAATAATACAATTAACGGCACTAACTACTATAGAAAATATCGGGCACCAAACAACAATATGATTAAAAGAATAGGAGGAATTAGGTGTTTGTAAATCACTTTTTCTGTACATGCTTTTGAATTGATATATGAATGAAGCCCCCATAAATATTATAAAAATCAATATTGATTATAAAATATTAAATTCAATTTATATATTGCAAGAAAAAAATCGAAATCAAAACTTGCATTTAATGTGTTTATTTGTATATGAATATTTAAAAATAAAACCCTACTGACTGAGAAAATAATTTTAACTTAAAATTCAATTGTTTACTTTCCAATTATTAATTAATGTCATTTTTATAATTTATAAAGAATACAGTTTATCTCAAATTTAGTCATTATATAGATGATAATATATTTGCCATTATGTATTTGTATTGGGATGAAACGTTAGTAGTTATATAAATGAATAGATACTAATGTGTGTTTGATTTTTAATTTAATAAAAATTCATTTTCTTTTTTTCTAAATGAGTTTAGTAATTAGAATTTATTTGGATAATATGAAAATAAATTGAAGTTAGCTTCAACGGCACATTTCAAAAGTAAAAAATAATTACCTAAAGCCATGCGTTTTTATAAAATGGACTTTCGGTTGCATTTTAAATGGACTTTTAGATAAGTACCATAAACCAACATCGCATTTACCTAATAGATTTAAATTTAGTGAGTGGTCTAAATTCACCCATTCAATGAATATATCAATTATAACTATTATATATCTCATCAATATTAAAAATTGTTAATATATATTTCCTTTCAAAAATTTAAAACAAGCCTCATGATTAGAACATTATTTACATGCATTATCTATCCATAAATTTAAGATATAGTACTTGCTAATTAGTATTGTATGACAAAATCTGTGACAATTATTATTTAAATTATATGATCGTCATTATATCATATGAAACACTCATTCACTAAGTAAACTCATACCACTTCCTGAATTCAAATTCTCCCACGGGATGGCATTTTCTGAATGTGAAATAATAACTCTATCCAAACATGCCCTAATGAAAGTAAGGTTACGTCCTCGTACGCTTAGCTTGAATATGAGAAAAGAAACAAACGAAGAAGGGACAAGAGAAGAGAAAGAAAGGAGGAGAAGCAAACCAAAAAAACAAAGGAAAAGGTTGAAGATAATGGCTGCGTAGTGACGATGAGAGGTTTGTCCAAAAGCTTAAGAAAGAACTTAAGCCTTGAATATTCAAGTCGTAGTAAACAAAAACTTCGTAGCGGCTAAATTTTGCCGCTTCATCTTCATGGTTGTTCTCTGTCGGCTCATACATATACGGCCACTTCGTTCCTTTGCACATAAATATTCTGTTAATTTCTACTCCCTTGCACCTCTTACTTTCTCATACAAACAACGGCCTAATTTCCTATGGATCTGTATAGATTTTAGAATTCCTCTACGCGTCAATACATTTTCCTTTTATCATCTCATACTTTCATTAAAATTATTATTTTAATTATTTCTATTGTGTAGGTGTGTTTGCTTGTGTGTGTGTGTGTGTAAGGATGTGTATAATATATATATTTATATGAATTATATCATTTATGATTTATGAATAATATACTTTTCTGTGTATTTGAATTAGTGAGAAGTTGGATTTGTCTTTGAACTAAATCTCTCATTTAAATATACTAAAATTTAAGAATTTGGATTTGATTTAAATTCAAATTCATTTCAAATTATAATTTATTTTTAATTTCAAATTTGTCCTACATTCTAATCATTTGAAATTCTAATCATTTCAAACATTTTGTTTTCTTTGCATTTTTACCATAGATATTTCTATAACTCTTATATATTTTCTCATTTCTTGTCGATTAAAAAATAAAGATAAATTCATCATTTTTAATTTTTAATTTTTGTTTTGAATTTCTATTCATTTCTTTTCTTCATTTAAAAATTTTAAAGGGTTATTGAGTATCATAAATTCAAATCTATTGCGTGAATAGCATTCTAGATCTTGAATTCTTAAAATATGTAAAATTTTTTTTTAACTTTTAAATTCCAAGCACTTGAAATCTTATCGTGAAGTTAGAGAAAATGATCGTTATTTTTGTAATTGTGAGGCTTAGTCGTACGTTGATGCAACACTCATTTTGATCCTTAAAAATAACGGCCATATCCTCCAACTTAATGGCAAGCTTTCAGGCATTTAGAATTGAAAAATTGGTGAGAATTTTTGTACATTTCAAGAGTTCAGAATGATATTCGCACAATAGTTTAAAGTTTAAGATGTTCATTAAATCACTTTTTAAATTACCTAAACAAAGAATTTTAAATATATGGATTTTAAATGTATGAGTTGAAATGTCAAATTTCAAATCCAAAATTCAAATTCAAATCCATTGATCCAAATGCTATATTATATTTTATACAATGAATGGATTCCAAAATTTAATTTATTAAATGTGTGTAATTATTGAAACCACTTCAATCTCTATTACAAGACAACTCTAACCATGTTGGTGGAACTAAGAAAATGTGGTTAAGTCATCAATTTTGGCTAAAAATGGAATAAATTTTTCAATTTCTCTCATTTAAATATATAATTTTCAAATTTGCTTTACATTATTTTTCAAAGTTAATATAACTTTAAACATGGGTAATGTTAGTCAATGGTTAGTTGTCCTAAGAGCAACACATACCATCTTCTTTTCTTGAAAGAGGTCATGGATTTGAGCCTAGCATTGACATGTGTTGTTTGGGCCCGTGGATGTGTATATCTTCCTTTCATATGAGGAAGGGTTAGATTAGAGATAAAAAAATTTTAAAATTAAAAAATTATGGTTAATATTAGAAAAAACTTAATTAATATCCTATCAAGTAATTTATAATAATGATAATCAATTTATTTTAAAAAATATTTTATAATAATGACTGGTAAAAATATGTTATCTATATTAAAAAATGGATAGCAAGAAACACCCACATGGAGATTGGAGAGCGGGGAAATGCAAAGTACGGAGCAGAGAGCTGAATTTGTCTTATTTGCTTATTTTCTGCCTCCTTTCTGGCGTTCTGTGTTCTGCTCT